GACGAGTCTGCCACCCCACAACAATCTTATGTCTAATCGAGTAAAATACTATATATATGTGTATACATGATTAAATACAGGTTATAACCCAACTATAACACTAATCCCCCCCCCCCAACTCCACACACCCTCCCCGTTTTTCCTCTTTACCCATACATTGTACAAGCCAAATTCATAGAATAGGCAGGGGCTGGTGTGGCTGGAGGCAGCACAGTACCTCACTTCCGGTCCTGACTTGGTGATGCGGTGCGATGAGTGTTAGGTTAAGGCATTATTAGGCATAGGAGCTGTCTTACAAAAACTAGACTTATACAGTTAATATATATAGGACAGAAGGCCCCTTCTCTAACTTATCCCCTTCCTGTACTCTTTTACTCCATACTTTATCCCTTCTACTCATTTTCCTTTCTGTTCTTCGTCTGCTGGATAACCGAAATACTCGGTAGTGAAGCGGACGTAAAACCTATCAATCAATCAATCAATCAAATGTGGTAACATCTACACCAATGACATTTTGGTAGCCATCGGTCAAAGTTAAAGGGTCCAAGATCATGCTTGACCAGGTTTAAAAAAAATCCTTGTGTACAATATTTTTTCAATGAATGTCTAAAGTATTGTTTCCAAACTGTAATGTTGTCAGAAAATAGTGATTTTGTGGTTGTAACGATTCATATAAATCTAGAGTAATACAAGATGTTTGAAAATCTATTGTATCGCACATCTCATGATAGTTTTTAGCTCACCTGGCCCGAAGGGCCGAGTGAGCTTATGCCGTGGTACGACGTCCGTCCGTCGTCTGTCGTCAACTTTTAAGTTTAAACAACTTCTTCTGAATAACCAAGAGGCCTAGGGTGATGATATTTGGCCAGTAACATGCTGGGATGAAGGGCTACCAGTTTTTTCAAATAAATGACCTTGATTTATATTCAAGGTCACTGGAGTCAAATATCTTTAAAACCTTTAAACGACTTCTTCTGAATAATCGAGAGGCCTAGGGTGATGATATTTGGCCAGTAACATGCTGGGATGAAGGGCTACCAAGTTTGTTCAAATAAATGACCTTGATGTATATTCAGGGTCACTGGGGTCAAATATGTTAAAAACCTTTAAACGACTTCTTTTGAATAACCGAGAGACCTAGGATGATGATATTTGGCCAGTTACATGCTGACATGAAGGGCTACCAAGTTTGTTCAAATAAATGACCCTGGTTTATATTCAAGGTCACTTGGGTCAAATATGTTTAAAACCTTTAAACGACTTTTTCAAAATAACTGAGAGGCCTAGGGTGATGATATTTGGCCAGTAACATGCTGGGATGAAGGGCTACCAAGTTTGTTCAAATAAATGACGTTGATTTATATTCAAAGTCACTGGGGTCAAATATCTTTAAAACCTTTAAACGATTTCTTCTAAATAACTGAGAGGTCTAGGGTGATGATATTTGGCCAGTAACATGCTTGGATGAAGGGCTACCAAGTTTGTTCAAATAAATGACCTTGATTTATATTCAAGGTCACTGGGGTCAAATATATTTATAACCTTTAAACGACTTCTTCTGAATAACCAAGAGGCCTTTTGTTTGCACTATTTCTTAGAAAGTTCGGAGGGATCTTTCTCAAATTTCACATGCAGGTTTCCCATGGTCCCTAGTTATGCATATTGTTTTTTGGGACTGATCACAAAACCAAGATGGCCGACAGCCAGCAATCTTGAATTTGGGAGTCCAAGTTTGTCAGCGCTATTTCTCAGAAAGTACTGGAGGGATCTTTCTAAATTTCACATGAAGGTTCCCCATGGTCCCTAGTTATGCATATCGTTTTTTGGGACTGATCACAAAACCAAGATGGTCAAGAGCCAGCCATCTTGAATTTGAGTTCAAGATTGTTGGTGATATTTTTCAGAAAGTACTGGAGGGATCTTTCTAAATTTCACATGAAGGTTCCCCATGGTCCCTAGTTATGCATATCGTTTTTGGGACTGATCACAAAACCAAGATGGCCAAGAGCCAGCCATCTTGAATTTGAGTTCAAGATTGTTGGTGATATTTTTCAGAAAGTACTGGAGGGATCTTTCTAAATTTCACATGAAGGTTCCCCATGGTCCCTAGTTATGCATATCGTTTTTTGGGACTAATCACAAAATCAAGATGGCAGTCATCTTAAATTTAAGGGTTCAAGTTTGATAGCGCTATTTTTAAGAAAGTGCAAGACGGATCTTTGTCAAATTTCACATGAGGGTTCCCCAAGGTCCCTTGTTATGCATATTGCTTTTTGGGACTGATCACAAAATCAAGATGACCGATAGGCAGCCATCTTGAAATTTATGAGTTCAAGATTGTTGGCGCTATTTCTCAGAAAGTACAGGAAGGATTTTTCTCAAATTTCACATGCAGGTTTCCCATTGTTTCAAGTTACTAATAACAAATGTTGGGACTGAAAGGAAAACCAAGATGGCCTACAGCCAGCCATCTTGAATTTGAGAGTTCAAGTTTGTTAGTGCTACTTTTCAGAAAGTACGGGAAGGATCTTTCTCAAATTTCACATGAAGGTTTCCCATGGTTTTCATGCAGCCATCTTGAATTTAAGAATGAAAGTTTGTTAGCGTTATTTCTCAGAATATACAGGACGTCTTTCTCAAATTTCACATGAAGCTCCCCATGGTTCCTAGTTCCAAATTTTGGGGATTATTGGAAAACCAAGACAAGCGACAGGTGGTCGTATTGAATCTTTCTTCACATAAGGGTTCCTCTTGGTTGTGAGTTAAGCATTTCAAATTTTTGGACATGTCTGAAAACTAAGATGCAGACAGGCAGACATCTTGTTACAGTTTAAGATTGTTATCGCTATTTCTAAGAATGTAAAGGAGGAATCTTTCTTAAATTTGATGTGTAGGTTCCCATTGGTCCTTATAGTTGTGCATATTAACTTTTGAGGTTAATCAAAGACTGATTAAGATGGCAGACAGTCAAACTGATCAAACAGTTAAGAGAAAAGAAGAGAAAAGTTCAAACTGTCATAGAACTAATGAAGATGGTAAGATGGTTGGCACCAAGATCCCTCTGGGATCTCTTGTCTGGGGAATATGCTGTAATAATTAAAGCCTATTCGTTTGACTATTGACACTTTATGCCAAGGGTCCTGTCTCTGTGCTAACACATAGCGAAAATTTGGTTTAGATATATCTTGAATGCAAAATTACTATCTATGTAAATTAAATTTTGGGTCAAAAACATGTAAAATAAAGCCCGCTTAAATAACCCATAAATAACCCAAGGTGCTATTAAGCCAATAGAGTAACTTTTTTGTTTAACAGAAATCATATCTCCAAACATATTCTTTGTTGTTGATAAGTGTGGATTGTACAGTTTCATATAGCACAATGAGTGAACTTTTTTATGTGTGATAATATAAATACGATTTGAAATGTCACCTTCATCAGACAATTTACTGTTAAAGCATAATGTACACAATGGTGTACAACTACAATATGTTAGCTATGCTTGAGTGTGTGTACATTAGTCACTTAATTGTTATACATGTAAAACATTGAAGTGATCATCTGACGATGGTGTTACATTAGTGTTGTTAATATAAAACATTGAAGTGATCATCTGACGATGGTGGTACATTATAGTGTTGTTAATATAAAACATTGAAGTGGTCATCTGACGATGGTGTTACATTATAGGGTTGTTTATATAAAACATTGAAGTGATCAGCTGACGATGGTGTTACATTATAGTGTTGTTCATATAAAACATTGAAGTGATCATCTGACTATGGTGTTACATTATAGTGTTGTTAATACAAAACATTGAAGTGATCATCTGACGATCGTGTTACATTATAGTGTTGTTAATATAAACATTGAAGTGATTATCTGACGATGGTGTTGCATTATAGTATTGTTTATATAAAACATTGAAGTGATCAGCTGACGATGGTGTTACATTATAGTGTTGTTAATATAAATCATTGAAGTGATTATCTGACGATGGTGTTGCATTATAGTATTGTTTATATAAAACATTGAAGTGATCAGCTGACGATGGTGTTACATTATAGTGTTGTTAATACAAAACATTGAAGTGATCATCTGACGATCGTGTTAAATTATAGTGTTGTTAATATAAAACATTGAAGTAATCATCTGACGATGGTGTTACATTAGTGTCGTTAATATAAAACATTGAAGTGATCATCTGCCGATGGTGTTACATTATAGTGTTGTTAATATAAACATTGAAGTGATTATCTGACGATGGTGTTGCATTATAGTATTGTTTATATAAAACATTGAAGTGATCATCTGACGATCGTGTTAAATTATAGTGTTGTTAATATAAAACATTGAAGCGATAATCTGACGATGGTGTTACATTATAGTGTTGTTTATATAAAAAATTGAAGGGATCATCTGACGATGGTGTTACATTATAGTATTGTTTATATAAAACATTGAAGTGATCAGCTGACGATGGTGTTACATTATAGTGTTGTTCATATAAAACATTGAAGTGATCATCTGACGATGATGTTACATTATAGTGTTGTTAATATAAATCATTGAAGTGATTATCTGACGATGGTGTTGCATTATAGTATTGTTTATATAAAACATTGAAGTGATCAGCTGACGATGGTGTTACATTATAGTGTTGTTCATATAAAACATTGAAGTGATCATCTGACGATCGTGTTAAATTATAGTGTTGTTAATATAAAACATTGAAGCGATAATCTGACGATGGTGTTACATTATAGTGTTGTTCATATAAAACATTGAAGTGATCATCTGACGATCGTGTTACATTATAGTGTTGTTAATATAAAGCATTGAAGTGATCATCTGACGATGGTGTTACATTATAGTGTTGTTAATATAAAACATTGAAGTGATAATCTGACGATGGTGTTACATTATAGTGTTGTTAATAAAAAATAGTGTAGGTGGGACCGATTTTACTCGGAGTAAACAAATTAAAACAAATTCTTATGAAAATCTTCGACAATCAAACTTTAATATCTCACTTATGATAAAACACACACAAATAACTTCTGATGGATAATGACCATCAGAATCACACCACCAAGTCCGACCTCTCAGTGCACACAAACAACAGCTTCATACATTCTGTATATCAACTCCACTAACATGTAAATATCAAAAGGAAAAGTTTGCTCTAATGACACAATACCTGGATCAATGTCTTTTATCGCGATTTAAACGGTTGTTCGTTTAGGAAATAAGGTCAGACCTAGTAATCTGATGCTGCTTTCAGATGAGCCTTAACAAAGCCTTGCAAGGTCGGCATCAATGTTTGCAGGTCCGCCAGGGTTTATACCCGAAAATGTTACATTTAAAAACAGACAAATGGGTTGTTCCTCATAAAGGAACAGGACCTGTTTTCACATGATGGTATCTACCTGTATTTAGAAAGGGAATATTCCAGGTTATAAAATTTGAAGTTTACTGTAAGCTAAACCTCCATCTGAGATCACCTTGGACAATTAATAACCCAGATCACTGTCTCAGATTTCGGATTAAAAGTCACTTTACTAATACTTGTTTTCACAGGTGCATACTGTATATATAACTTATAGGTATAATAAACAGGCAATGTGTCTTGAAGAACTGGTGCTCCCATACTTAAGAAGAATTAAAGCAAGGTCAAAGAATGTCCTGCGCCATGTTGTACTCATAAAAGAACATAAGCATGCTAGCCTAGCAGCAGTACTTGGTCCATAATTGACCTAAAAGCAACGATTGAACGGGCCAGACGTGAGGCGTCTCTGTACAGGTAATCATTACAGAAGCATCAGTATATTATATAACGGGCCAGACGTGAGGTGTCTCTGTACAATTGATCATTACAGAAGCATCAGAATATTATATAACGGGCCAGACGTGAAGTTTCTCTGTACAGTTAATCATTACAGAAGCATCAGTATATTATATAACGGGCCAGACGTGAGGTTTCTCCGTCCAGTTAATCATTACAGAAGCATCAGTATATTATTAAAAAAGAATATTTATGTAACAGGTAATCTAAAATTTCCCCCTTAGTTCTACATAATATAGAGGAACAGGAGATTGATCTATTTACCATCTTTAGCTCAAATTATGTAAATTTAAAAAACTTTAAAAAACATTATGTTCACCTAATATCTTTTCACATGATTAAAGTAAAAATGTTTGAAACATGATGTGCATAATAATAAGAAGAACCAACAAAACCCATCAAGGTTGATGTTATGAGCACGGTGTAAGGGGATGCGATTTACCAAATTGAATGGCTTCTCTGATGTGGTGGAACAGAAAGTGAATATATCACAGTAAACAGGTATCAATATATCCCAGGATTCCCTGCTACACTACCTCCATTTATCTCGGTAGCTGTCCCGTTGGCTACATCGTGTGACTTAAATGTCATATATATTCCATCATGAACAAGAGGTAAGGCAAACACAGAAGTGCATGTTTTCTTTGTAGAAAACTTATAAATATATCTGTTAACATTTGTAAATGATCTCTGCACTATGAAAGTGTATCAACTCAAAGTATTTGAATTGAAAACAATCCATCTTTTATCCCTCAAAATTATAATTTCATTATATTTCCAAACTACATACACAGTCAAACTTTCGCCCTTCGCCAGAACCATCCAATTATTTGCCAAATGTCAATTTTGCCCTTCATGTTTAATTGCTATGCATGTTGTTTACTAATGTTTGATGTATTGGTAGATTTGCCCTCCTTAGCTAGGCAAACAAATCTAACTACCACAAACACTTCCCCGACTATAATTTTAAAATAATTATTGTGTCTATATAGAAAACTTATGAAATCAATACATTGTTGCATTCAATATTTTTCATGCAGTCTTCTTGTAAATTTTAGATTTAGGGTGCAGTGCATGGAACCCCGAGAATATGATATGGGATGATATGGTTGACAATGCTTAACTCATTCACCCCTGAAGACACATTTGAACTCATCCAAATCAAAGATTGGAATAGTTCATTATGAAATGTCAGGGGTGAATGAGTTAACTACAGTATAATATGCTTCTTTAAGGTTCGAAGCAATGAAGTTCAACAATTTGACTATCTTCTGGTAGATAGTTTTGAACTATTGTCCTTGAGCATTACAAATATACAGTGTTCATGCCTACGGACTGACAAAACCTAATCTGACTATCTTCTGGTAGATAGTTTTGAGCTATTGTCCTCAGAATTATAGTTCATCCATATTGACTGACAAAACCTCTATCACACCCATACCCAGCAAGTGATGAGTGAAAATTATCAATTTTGTTTCTTAATCTCAAAACCTGAATCTACTTGCATCTAATAAATACGTCTGCACTTCAAAATATTTCTGACATTACAAAATGAAGGTAGTATATCATAAAAGTAGACATGATATACTAATCTCTGGTGGAAGTGTGGCAAAGTCACTAGCATGATGAAACATGACCACCGGAAAATCTTTTCAGTCACAGAAAATGTTTAAAGTGGCATATTGGCATGTTTTTTCCAAGGATTGGACAATTTCTTATTTGCTAAAACTTTTAAATCCTGGCAAATTCTTCTTCTAGTGGTCCTTGGCTCAATGATGTCATCCACAAAACCTGAAAGTAAGAAAAAATTCTGATTTCATCTCAAGGATACATTTTCAATGGTACATCAATAATTTCCATGCTTCCAACGCAAAAGTAAACATGCCCGCCTGTGAGAAGGTTTACTCAAGCTCCTCCAGTAAAAGTAAACATGCTCACCTGTGAGAAGGTTTATTCAAGCTCCTACGGTAAAAGGAAACATGCCCACCTGTGAGAAGGCTTACTCAAGCTCCTACAGTAAAAGGAAACATGCCCGCCTGTGAGAAGGTTTACCCAAGCTCCCACGGTAAAAGTAAACATGCCCGCCTGTGAGAAGGTTTACCCAAGCTCCCACGGTAAAAGTAAACATGCCCTCCTGTGAGAAGGTTTAATCAAGCTCTTTCTGTAAAAGTGAACATGCCCACCTGTGAGAAGTTTTACTCAAGCTCCTACGGTAAAAGGAAACATGCCCACCTGTGAGAAGTTTTACTCAAGCTCCTACAGTAAAAGGAAACATGCCCGCCTGTGAGAAGGTTTACTCACGCTCCTACAGTAAAAGTAAACATGCCCGCCTATGAGAAGGTTTACTCAAGTTCCTACAGTAAAAGTAAACATGCTCACCTGTGAGAAGGTTTACTCAAGCTCCTCCAGTAAAAGTAAACATGCCCTCCTGTGAGAAGGTTTAATCAAGCTCTTTCTGTAAAAGTGAACATGCCCACCTGTGAGAAGGTTTATTCAAGCTCCTACGGTAAAAGGAAACATGCCCACCTGTGAGAAGTTTTACTCAAGCTCCTACCGTAAAAGTAAACATGCCCTCCTGTGAGAAGGTTTAATCAAGCTCTTTCTGTAAAAGTGAACATGCCCACCTGTGAGAAGGTTTACTCAATCTTCTACGGTAAAAGTAAACATGCGCACCTGTGAGAAGGTTTATTCAAGCTCCTACGGTAAAAGTAAACATGACCACCTATGAGAAGGTTTACTCAATCTCCTACTGTAAAAGTAAACATGCCCACCTGTTAGAAGGTTTAATCAAGCTCTTTCTGTAAAAGTGAACATGCCCACCTGTGAGAAGTTTTACTCAAGCTCCTACGGTAAAAGTAAACATGACCACCTATGAGAAGGTTTACTCAATCTCCTACAGTAAAAGTAAACATTCCCACCTGTGAGAAGGTTTACCCAAGCTCCCACGGTAAAAGTAAACATGACCACCTATGAGAAGGTTTACTCAAGTTCCTACAGTAAAAGTAACCATGCCCGCCTGTGAGAAGGTTTACTCACGCTCCTACAGTAAAAGTAAACATGCCCGCCTGTGAGAAGGTTTACTCAATCTCCTACGGTAAAAGTAAACATGCCCACCTATGAGAAGGTTTACATTTTGTCTCTTTAAACTGATCACTGTGTGGGAATTCTGGCATTGACAAGCTAGGTTAAGAAATCAATTTCTCTCATTTCCGTGTGTAAGATAGAGCTGCCAGGGTGGTAAGAAAGGAGTGTAAGAAATTTCAATCTTGCACCCCGTTTCTCGTGGCGTGACATCATAATGGCTCAACAATGATGTGACGTCACAAATTCTGATGCCGCAATGTGGAAAGGCAATATAATGACATTGAAACCTTTTACGATTTATTCACCATACACGCAAGAAAGGGGAGATTAATTGTTCTGCGCAAACAATGTTTGCAAAAATATTGTCTTATAATATTCTATATATCTATAATATTTATAAGTATTTTTGAGCTAATTTACTTTATGTAAAAAATATGAGCACTTCACCACCATAATAATTTCCATTTGTAAAGCATGTGCTTTATATATCCACATGTATTAAACTTTCACAGATTGACAAAATACAGTCCAACAAGTGATCTCTTAACATAGGTGGCTTCTTAACACAGGTGGTATCTTAACATAGGTGGTATCTTAATACAGGTGGTATCTTAACATAGGTGGTATCTTAACATAGGTGGTATCTTAACATAGGTGGTATCTTAACACAGGTGGTATCTTAACAAAGGTGGTCTCTTAACACAGGAGGTATCTTAACATAGGTGGTATCTTAACATAGGTGGTATCTTGACATAGGTGGAATCAGAACATAGGTGGTATCTTAACATAGGTGGTATCTTAATACAGGTGGTATCTTAACACTGGTGGTCTTTTAACATAGGTGGTATCTTGATATAGGTGGAATCTTAACATAGGTGGTATCTTAACATAGGTGGTATCTTAATACAGATGGTATCTTAACATAGGTGGTATCTAACACAGGTGGTATCTTAATACAGGTTGTATCTTAATACAGGTGGTATATTAACACTGGTGGTCTTTTAATATAGGTGGTATCTTGATATAGGTGGAATCTTAACATAGGGGGTATCTTAACACAGGTGGCATCTTAATACAGGTGGTATCTTCATAAAGGTGGTATCTTAACATAGGTTGTATCTTAATACAGGTGGTATCTAAACATAGATGGTATCTTAATACAGGAGGTATCTTAACATAGGTGGTATCTAACACAGGTGGTATCTTAATACAGGTTGTATCTTAACACTGGTGGTCTTTTAACATAGGTGGTATCTTAACACAGGTGGTATCTTAACATAGGTGGTCTCTTAATATAGGCTCAGTTAAAAATGAAATCACTTCAATGGGGAACATTAAAAGATTAAAGCAGATAAATGAAATTGTAGTAGAGAGAATGGAAGGAAATAAAATCGCTTTTGTAAAGAAAATACCATAAGAACGAAAGTGTATTGTATTGGGAGGATGGTACCTCTTACTGCAGCAGGGAAGGGGTTGGCAAACTTCTCTACATATTCTGCTTCATTCTTCTCCTGGTCTTTTCCTCGGAAAATGATGGACACTGCTCCCTGTTAATGAACAATAAAGAGATTCAACACAAATTCTTTTGAATAAAATATTTCTATAACAAGAACATAAGGGTGCATAATGTGCCTGTTTGCAGTCACAATAATGTTAGATAATGTTTATTTGAATGATTACCCACTCCAAGCCCCCAAACACAGCCTTACATATTGCAGAAGCATTTCAGAATGTGTGAAGTGCTGATAGATACATCAGTTTATAAATATAAATTTAATTTTACAACAATTAAGAAACAGGTTTTTCACCTATATGTACAAATCTTGTTGTTTGAGAAAGAGAGTCTTACTGAGGAAGTTAAACACACTACCTGGAGAAAACCCACGTTGTTGGGCAGGTGACCCTGTACCTTTTCATGCCCAATGGGGTAGTCAAACCCCAGCTGTATCGTAAGTGTGCTATTAGCTAACCGTGAACTTGACCTTGTACCCAACCCTAGCAGCTTACCATGAACTTGACCTTGTACCCAACCCTAGCAGCTAACAGTGAACTTGACCTTGTACCCAGCCCTAGCAGCTAACCGTGAACTCGACATTGTACCCAACCCTAGCAGCTATCCGTGAACTTGACCTTGTATCCAACCCTAGCAGCTTACCATCAACTTGACCTTGTACCCAACCCAAGCAGCTAACCGTGAACTTGATCTTGTACCCAACCCTAGCAGCTAACTGTGAACATGACATTGTACCCAACCCTAGCAGCTCACCGTGAACTTGACCTTGTACCCAACCCTGGCAGCTAACCGTGAACTGGACCTTGTACCCAACCCTAGCAGCTAACCATGAACTTGACCTTGTATCCAACCCTAGCAGCTAACCGTGAACTTGACGTTGTACCCAACCCTAGCAGCTAACCGTGAACTTGACCTTGTCCCCAAACCTAGCAGCTAACCATGAACTGGACCTTGTATCCAACCCTAGGAGCTAACCGTGAACTTGACTTTGTACCCAACCCTAGCAGTTAACTGTGAACTTGACCTTGTCCCCACCCCTAGCAGCTAACTGTTAACTTGACCTTGTACCCATCCCTAGCAGCTAACCGTGAACTTGACCTTGTACCCAACCCTAGCAGCTAACCGTGAACTTGACGTTGTACCCAACCCTAGCAGCTAACTGTGAACTTGACCTTGTACCCAACCCTAGCAGCTAACTGTGAACATGATCTTGTACAACAATCAAACCTACCCTGATGCTAAGTGCATCATAGCTCCAACAGCTACCAGACACAGTAATTTGACTTCTTTACCTTAACCTTTGACAAATGTAGACTTCAACACAAACTTCTTAATATACAATTTACATTTAAAAGTTACATGTTGAAGGATTTCAGCTTCCGTGGTTGGCAAGGCAAAATGTTCAGATGGCAGTGTGATACAGTGGTAAGCACTCATTCAGCCTTTTATTAAGACGCCCTGGGTTCTATCGCCTGATCCATGCAGGGTGATTTGTCTGACCATGTAGGTTTCCCCAGGTACTTTAGTTTTCCTCTAACGTTAAGACCTGTTGCAATATTCCATCCGGGCCAAACAAGATCAATAAATATAAGTCTATAGCTTGTTTCATGATTATCGTAAAAGATTTTTTTTATTTCAAATTGATCTTTCCACAGTTTACCTTGGCTCCCATGACAGCGACTTCAGCAGTGGGCCAGGCATAGTTGGTGTCCCCACGTAAATGTTTGGAGCTCATCACATCGTACGCACCACCATAGGCCTGTCACAGAGAAATATCATCTTGTTACTTCTGTATCACCTATATTCCAATCTACTTTATATAAACCCAATCCACCATACATCTTCATGTTGACAACAAGAGGCTAATGGGCCTTAATGGTCACCAGAGCATTAACACAACTATTCTTTTAACTATTATTCGACAAAGTAAAATAATACAAAGAATACATATAAAGCAATATGGAATTTTGACTGGATTAACTGACAAATCATGTTGTGGAATGACCAACATGCATCATCTGTTTAGCTGGTAACTGTTACTGATAAGTCTTTACCAATCTCCACTAGACGCTCGGTGTGTTTTTAAATGAAGTGAAGACATAAATTGTTATTGGACCAACAACACTGGACAAATAGTTATCTGCACTTCGTACAGGAATATTTTTCACAATAATATGCAGGATAAGCATGTTTATGTTGAAAATTATTTAAAGGATGTTGAATTGTGTCATTAGAATCAGAACCGATAGTATCATAAAATAAGGACCAACCTTTCTGGTTATCACAGTTATCTTGGGCACCGTTGCCTCAGCGTAGGCATACAGCAGCTTGGCACCGTGTCGGATAATTCCTCCGTACTCCTGGGAGGTACCTAAAATACATTTATACATATAGTCTCTAAAACGATCGACCTCTTCCAGTCAGAATGTGATCAGAACTTTCCATTAAACTTTTAAGCCTAGTTAAGATTACTGTTATTCCAAGACCATTCATGCCTTGATGTCAAATTCCAAATCTGATGGATAATCCTGACCTGCTTCCCAGTAACATCACTTGTCAACAAATAGAAAACAATACCTTATTGATTCGCCAAAATTGTCTGTTTCATTGCGTGGCAACACATGTTTTCAAAGTATATCATACAGCAAAAGTATCAAGATTGGAAGATAATTAATAAATGAAAGGATTGAAATGCATCTGATTAATCAATTGTTATTACAAGTTTGATGTAAAGCAATTCTCCGTTTGAGTAACTACTCATATTCAATGAATTCATGGAACCACAAAATGGTGTTTTTTTGGGAAACCACAAAATTTGGGCACCACGCAAATATCCCTCTTTTTACAGTTCAACAGAAGGCATTGAAATGCATTTTCAAAGATATGTTGACTTCAATAAATACAGTAGGAGTTAAAACATCAAACGAATATTTTCACTTTTAATGTGATCTCCTATGTTACCTGGAAGGAATCCTGGAACATCAACAAATGTGATGACAGGAATGTTGAAGGAATCGCAAAACCTAACAAATCTGGCTCCTTTTACCGAGGCGTTGATGTCCAGACAGCCTACAAACAACAAACAAAAATATACAAGTGAGTAACTCCTGTCAGTCTACAAACAACAAACAACAAGTCTATATACAAGTGAGTACCTCCAGTCAGCCTACAAACAACAAGTCTATATACAGTGAGTAACTCCTGTCAGTCTACAAACAACAAACAACAAGTCTATATACAAGTGAGTAACTCCAGTCAGAATACAAACAACAAACAAATAGTCTATATACAAGTGAGTAACTTCAGTCAGTCTACAAACAACAAACAACAAGTCGGTATACAAGTGAGTAGCTCCAGTCAGCCTACAAACAACAAACAAATAATCTATATACAAGTGAGTAACTCTAGTCAGTCTACAAACAACAAACAAATATTCTATATACAAGTGAGTAACTCCAGTTAGTCTACAAAAGTCAGTCTACAAACAACAAACAACAAGTAGGTATACAAGTGAGTAGCTCCAGTCATCCTACAAACAACAAGACTATATACAAGTGAGAAACTCCAGTCAGTCTACAAACAACAAACAACAAGCCTATATACAAGTGAGTAACTCCAATCAGCCTCCAAACAACAAACAACAAGTTTATATACAAGTGAGTAACTCCAGTTAGTCTACAAACAACAAACAAATATTCTATATACAAGTGAGTAACTCCCTACAAACAACAAACAACAAGTCGGTATACAACTGAGTAGCTCCAGTCAGCCTACAAACAACAAGCCTATATACAAGTGAGTACCTCCAGTCAGCCTACAAACAACAAGCCTATATACAAGTGAGTACCTCCAGTCAGCCTACAAACAACAAGCCTATATACAAGTGAGTAACTCCAGTCCGTCTACAAACAACAAACAACAAGTCGGTATACAAGTGATTAGCTCCAGTCAGCCTACAAACAACAAGTCTATATACAAGTGAGTTACTCCAGTCAGCCTACAAACAACAAACAAATAATCTAAATACAAGTGAGTAACTCCAATCAGCCTACAAACAACAAACAACAAGTTTATATACAAGTGAGTAACTCCAGTCAGCCTACAAACAACAAGACT